GTAGAAGTACTCAGATCTTGTACTTGAGTAAAAGTAGAAGTACTCAGATCTTGTACTTGAGTAAAAGTAGAAGCACTCAGATCTTGTTCTTGAGTAAAAGTAGAAGTACTCAGGTCTTGTACTTGAGTAAAAGTAGAAGCACTCAGATCTTGTTCTTGAGTAAAAGTAGAAGTACTCAGTTCTTGAGTAAAAGTAGAAGTACTCAGGTCTTGTTCTTGAGTAAAAGTAGAAGTACTCAGGTCTTGTTCTTGAGTAAAAGTAGAAATACAAAGTACCAAACATGGAAACACACAAGTAAAGTACAATTACCTCTAAATTATACTTAAGTACTTAGTTAATTCACAACTCTGATTAAAACAATAAAAAACAACACATAAGAATTAATATTTTAGTTTCTTCACTTCTTTTAGCATAAACGTTGATTTGATTGAATATATATTATTTTTAACCTATTATTTTTACATGTTTTAATCCCTTTGTGCTAATCATTTCTAAATCGTTAAATGTTTTTTAAAAAGCGTTAAAAAACATAAACTCCACTTCCGGTGTTTCTGACTTCACTTCCGGTGTCTCTGACCTCACTGCCGGTGCAAAGATGGCGGACAGCGGCTCCAAATTCGGATCATAATTTTTCGGAGCTTTCTTTTTAAATCTGAGGATTTCTGCAGCTTCTTTTTCTTCAGGAAACTCCTCTGGAGCCCGGAGCCTGAACACACCTCCTCTACAGAGCCACCGTTAGTCTGTATTATTGATTATGTTTAATTAAAATATAAAGAGATGAAACACGCCACAGAGTGTTCACTGTGTCTCTGCTAACATGCTTCCTGCAACAACAACAACAACAACAACAACAACAACTCTCATACCTGTCATTTTGAACATGCTAACATGTAGAAGAACATGCATGTGTTATTAGCTTGTTAGCAGTCTGGTTTAATGTGAGCACTGTGTGAGACACTACAGGGAATAACACGGTTTGATTTAGAGATGTTTGGCTGTTTATCTTCCATAACATGACAGAAAAACCTCCAAAATCCTAATTTCTATGAAGTGTATTTCCCTAACTGTGTCCGTAGACTTCTCCTAAACTCACCAACAGTATATCTTAAGACATGGGTCAGGATTAGTTCATTTCATAACACTGAACATCTTTATTTTCACATCTCTCTCGCTGTTTAACCTGCAGCGGCAGTCTACGGAAGAGGATAAGGGACATATCATGCGCAATTTATTCTGCAACACCCCCTAGAACCAGGATTTATCTCCCATGTTTACACTCCCAGTCCCCTCACCTCCCACCTCCCAGTTCGGAACATCAAAACTTGCTTTATGAATTAGTGTGATATATATTGAAGTAGCTTTATCAACGTCTGCATGTCATCAACAACCGACTGCCAATCAAATAAAGAAAATACAATTAAAAAAACAACTATTTATTGTCAATTAACATTGAACTATACAGATTGTGACGAAGGTAACTTCGTGGACTGACGGCTTCTTTAGTGAACAGTTTTGCACTTTATTAGCGTGATTTGCACAATACAGTTTGGCATGGCACATTTTATATAATTTATACTAATTATTGAGGTAGTATTTATTAACTGATTAAAACCGTATTGATTGGAATGTCGTCTGGCAGGTGCTGGTCGGGTCCTCGGCTCCGCCTGAAAATATAGGGGAGTTAGCGAGAGCGCCGAAAGTATTTATGCTATTGTAAGAATGACAGCGTTTGGGAATAATCAGGGTGCTAATAATATGTTGAGGGTGTATTAATCATGACGTTAAGTTGCAGTAATAGTTAATTGTGTAAAGTTGATATATCACTTCCCCATGTATGTTGTTGCTGATTGTGTGCACCTGGTGCCCTGTGTTGTCTCCTCCCCCCCCACCTGTGTCTTGTTAGTCTGTGTGTATTTAGGTGCTGTTTCCTTGTTAGGGAGGGAGTGTGTGAGATCCTGGTGGCTGCAGGCTGGGCTCACGTGAACAGCAGCAGCAGCAGGATTGAGGCTGTGTGTAATGTGTTCAGTTTTAATAAATGCCCACACCGGGTTATCATTTTGGACGTTCTGCCTCCTCGCTTGTTCGGGCCGCTCAGCGGTCAGCTTCACACAGATATACAGTAAATACTGTGGATATGTGTAATGTTCCTCTCGGGCTGCATTTAAAAATAAAATAAATAAAATAGCTTTTGAAAATATGTGCATCTTAAAAGTGCTTAATTTTAGATAAATAAAATAAAAGGTAGCAGCAGCTTGAGTTTCTCTTTTTCTTTATTAACCATTTCACATCATGACTTAACAGTTTCAGATGATTATAGAACAATATCAGTCTTTACACATCATAACAATTGAACAGTTTTAAAGTTTCTCTTTCTTTCCCTCTTATATTGCAGTCCCTCACTCACTTTGTTTTAATTCAGTGCGAGAATTGAGCTGGAGCTTGTCCTGCTAGGAGTTTAAATCTGGGCTGAAATGCTGTCAGGGCCATTCTCATACACACATGCAGGTTAGCCTCGGTTAGCTCATTGGTTAGCCTCGGTTAGCTCATCGGTTAGCCTCGGTTAGCTCATTGGTTAGCCTCGGTTAGCTCATTGGTTAGCCTCGGTTAGCTCATTGGTTAGCCTCGGTTAGCTCATTGGTTAGCCTCGGTTAGCTCATTGGTTAGCCTCGGTTAGCCTGCCCTGGAACCATATTTAGTTTTAGCTTTGATCCTGGTGGACTGATCATATCGGGCTCTGAGACTGCTTTTTTTTTTTTTTTACAGATAATAGTGAAGAGAAAAGAAAAGAGAAGAAAGGAACAACAAATAAATATATAGTTAAAGTTAAATAATACAAAAACAATCACACATTAAAAGCCAGATTGAAGAGGTGAGTTTGTGTGAGTGTTTTGAAGGTGGTGAGGTCGGTGCAGTCTCTGATGGGTTGTGGGAGTGAGTTCCAGAGGGAGGGGGCAGCGACGGAGAAGGCTCTGTCCCCCCAGGTCCGGTGATTGGTGCGGGTGGGGATGGATAGGAGGTTGGCTTCTGATGAGCGGAGGCAGCGGGAAGGGGTGTGGTGGTGCAGCAGTTCTGTGAGGTAGGGAGCGCCACGGTCTCTGAACAAATGAGACACACTGGTTCTGTGCTCCCAGTGGGGCAGGATGAACATGAATGAGTCCACTCAGGGTTCAAAGCTCTGTTCTCACTGTCCCACCGTCTCTCTCTGTCTGTCGCTAACACCCCTGTTCACTCTCCTCTCCGCTTCTCTCCCTGTATCGCTAATTATTCTCTTCACTCACTTTCCTCTCTGCCGCTCTCTCGTCTCTTCTTCTGTGTTTCTCTCCCTGTATCGCTCACTCCTCTCTTTCGCCCCCTGTCGGCGGCGGTTAAAATAGAATCACCCCGTCAAAATTGAAATCTCCTTGATTATCGGTCTGCGTCTGGGTCCGCCTGTTACTGATCACTGTCCTAGAGCATCAGAGAGTAGCAGCAGCCGCATTAAGCTGCAATAAAGCAACACATGCATTCTTCTTTTTTATATATATATATATATATTATTTTTTTTTTACATAACATTTTTTTCAGATTTATTTTTTTCTTGAAGAATTCCAGAAGAAAAAAAAAATCTGAATTCTGAGATTTGTTTTGATATGTTTAATTTATTTTCTGTCAGAATTCAAAACGCGTGACGATGAGCAGCCGCAGGAAGAAGGCCCCCCCGCTGCGGGTCGACGACGAGGCCAAAAAGAAGCTGAACTGGAACATGCTGGAGGATCGAAATTGTGAAGAGGAAGGAAACAATAACAACCCCCCCACCTGCTCCTCACCGCCCCCCATCACTCCCTCTCTCCCCCCTCATCCAGAGACTTCCTGTCCCCCCCCCACCCTCTCCATCACCCTCTCCATCCTCTCCCTTGAAACGCTTCCCCCAGTTTGGACTGCTTTAATCGGGGAGTTCATCCTGAGTCCCGCCCCGGACTGTGGGAGGAAAACACTTCTTCTGATGATCAACAGGGAGGGGCAGCTGTCCATCAGATACACAGCAGGGGGGGAGGAGGGAGGGGGGGAGACAATGCAGGAGGAGGGTCATGTGACCTGCAGTAGTCTGGGGGGGGTCAGCCTGCAGGATCTGGACTGGATGCAGAAGAGGAGCCTCGTTCAGCTGATGCACCGACAGGAGGA